TCCCCCTTTTTTTTTTCTTGGGATAGTAGCACTTTTGATCCCTTTAATCAGTAAATTTTAATTTTAGTCCTTGTGATATGATTATAATCTTTTATTAATAAAAATTATGTTTTTTTTGGTCCTTTATTATAGAAAATATGTTACATTTAGGGTGTGTTTGGTACGAAGGAAAATGGTTTCCATAAAAAATGAGTGGGTTTTATTACTTATTTTCCCTTGTTTGCTTGGTGAGTGGAAAATATTTTCTATTGTTTGGTTAGAGAGTAGAAAATATTTTTTTTAGGAAAATATTTTTTATGCAACTCTCCTCGCCTCTCCCCCTCCCCCTCCCCCCCAACCCCTCCTCCCTCCCCACCCCTTCCCCAAGTCTCTAAAAATTGACACAACCCAAAGCAACTAATGTGTTGCTTTACTTTTTTACGTAAAAATCGCGAACTTTCGAACCCGTAAACTTTATAATTTCTAAACCCGTAAACTTTCAAACACATAAACCTCTAAACTCATAACTTTGGAACTTGTAAAATTTCGAACCTGTAAACCGACAGATGAAAAAATTAAAATTGAAAATATATATATAAAAAAATATTTTTTCGGGGGAGGGGGAGGGAGGGGCAGGCAGGGGTAGTGCAGAAAAATAAAAAAAATAGAAATTTGAAATTTAAAAAAAATTAAAAAAAAATTTTTTTGGGGGGGGGGGGGGGGGAGGGGGGTGCAGAAAAACGAAAAATAGAAATTTAAAAATTTAACAAAAAAAAAAGGTAAAAAAATTTGTTTGGAACCGGGGATAGCAGGGTGGGTGGTGACGGAAAAAAAACTGAAATTTAAAAAAAAATCCTTTTTGGAGAGAGAGGTGGGGTGGGGTTTGGGTGGGTGGGTGTGGGGGTGGGTTGGGGGATAGGGTGGGGAAGGTTGAGAACTTGATAAGGAAAATATTTTCCCTTCTCTTGATAAGGAAAATATTTTCCTCCAATTGAAGGAAAATGAGTTGATAAGGAAAATGTTTTCCAAAATATTTAAGCCAACCAAACATGGGAAAATTGGAAAACATTTTCCGGAAAATGTTTTCCTTCGTACCAAACACACCTTTAGACTATTTTTTTTTTACATCTATCACCCTTATATATGGAACAATATTAGAAATTTAACATAATATGGGTAATTAAATAGTAAATGGTTATTAATTTATTAAATTTGTGGAGAGTTACTGGGGAAGGGATCAAAAGTGCACATTTCAATTACTAGAAGTTATATACACATTACAAAATCAGAATTTATTGATGATTGAGGAAATAAAAGCACAAATTTCCTTTTCTTAAAAGTTCTTTTAGTTACACCTTTTAAACCTATAAATACCCCTCTCTATTTCCAACACTTCTCACACGAATACTGTCACATACTCTCTCTAAAAGTCTCACAACTCTGCCTCTTACTCAGGATATCAATAATTTTAGTCTCTCAACTTGGTGATTAGAGATCTAAATTTGTGGATCAACTCAACTTCAATTAACGCTTTCATTATTTTTAGTTTCGTCAATTTGATACATTTGTCCCTACTATTTATTTTAACTAGTTTCTCGCCTCGTGCGTTGTACGTGTATGCCTAGTCATGTAGTACGCGATTTGTAAAATAAAACCAAATTTATTATTGGAACAAAATTTGAGTAAATAATAAGTACAGTCTTAATGAATGATGGATATGAATTTATCGATCATTGAGATCAAAATAATCAGATACCGTGAAGATGATTATTGTTCTCGTAACATACATTTATTGGGAAATGTGTGTTGGAAATACATTTAATTTATCAAAGTATTAAGAGTATCTATTCATCTTTTGAAAGGTGAAAGGTGCATGAATTAATAAAGTTAAATCATTCTTCTTAAATTATGGCAAGAATATGAAAGTGGCTTCGGACTTTATTGTCTAAGAATCTAAATTTATACGGTAATATATATTTGAACTCAAACACAAATATTTTTTGTGTGAAAGCACACACCTATTTACATTAGTTTTGTCTTCTGTTATTTCACTCCTCAAATAAATGTATTTTCTTTCTCCTTCCTGTGGCTCTTACGCATGTGTAGTACTTATTCCTTTTCTAAGCATCTAAATGGTTTATTTTTGACAATTTGTTTAATTTGTTATGAAATACTTGATTATGGTGGAGGTTCATAACTCCTAAGGGAGTAACACCCTCCATTAACCTCCCACTACTTCTTACCATTATGGATGTAACTCCCACACCTCCATGATCTTCCCCCATGTTCTCAATAGTTAATACCATGTTTATGGCATCCCTTTGTATTACCTATATCATCCTATAAATAGAGGGTTTGGACATCACATTGTAGTCACTTGAATACATGGAAGAAATAGATTCTCTTCTCTCTTTCTCTCTACATTGTTGTCTATCTTTTTGTTTTATATTATTACTTTGAGCTAAGTTTTGTAACACGTTATCAGCACGATGCATCCTCCTTATGTTATGATGCATGATAAAGTGTGATATGGCACTTGAAAGGAGGGCATCCCTCGTAACGATTCACAAAAGGTTTAGTTCCAGCAAGAAGACGGTATCCAAGGTGGTTATTAAGATTATGAATGACGAAATCCTGCAGATAGCACCTTGTTCAGTTATAGTAATTAAATTTTTCTTATCTAACTATTTTTTTTCCATATAATATATATGAGTTAAGCTTCCTTCACTTCATTTTTAACGCATAACTAGTATATGCTAATGGTCCAAGAATATTTAGACCGATTTAGAACTGTTATCATTATTCACTTATAATATTTTTTGTTGCACTACAAATTAAAAATGATAGTTTGCAATAAAAGGTAATTGCTACGACGGTAATTAAGTAAGATTTCTTCCTCTAACTTCTTTAACTTATATATTACCGTAATCCTACCACCTCTATATGCATGCACAACTTCGAATACAGATAATTGTTAGTTTATACAAACTAATATTTATATTTCATAGTTGTGGCAAAACTAATTTATGTATTATTATAATATTTTTGTTATGTTAAATTTGAAATTTTTTGAGTATGTGATACTTGATTTGTTTTTCACCATCCCGATGAGGCTTGAATGAAAATTTATAAAACAATATGTAATCACAAAGTGGTATATTTTTAAATGCTCGAGGGTGAATACCAGTAAACTTTTAACTGAGGGTAAGACGGTGGGTTCAAGTCCCAACGCACCATAAGGGTAAGACATTGGGTTCAAGTCCTGATGCACTATGATGATAAGAGTTGGATTTGAGTCCCAACTCATTATAGCCTAACATGCCTTTATATGGGTAAGGCATTGAGTTTGAGTCCTAATGCACCATATTGATGATCTAATGATTGTCGACGCCCCCTTTTTCCCTCCCTCCAAAGAGCGAGAAATCGGGTTTACGACATTTAGGAAAGACAACTCTATTCCCGTTTGGGATTGGGTTTTGGATTTGGAGAGTCGCCACCTAATGATTATAGTGCATTAGGATACTTTAAGAAAGAATTTGAGATGAAAAACCAGAGTTCGGGTAAGGGTTAGAAATTATCTCGAGGGGAAGGTGTTAGGCACCCCTCGAGATCCACTAGTGTGGTTCCCGGCCATGCTACAACTGTGACTTTAAATACAAACAACAAGTAGACAAGCAAGCATTGCAAATACGAGGAAAACTTTCACATAATGGTTGCAAATAAAAAGTACAAAAGGTATAAAAAATACTAGAATTTGGAAGAGAGTAGTTTTATAATTAAAGAAAAGATATACGAGTAAAGGGGAAGGG